TCGCTCACTGTGGAGGGAGGAGGGATGTGGAAGGAGAAGAAACAAGAATGACTCTTGGCTATGCAGACGGTGATCGAATTACTAAGACTGGGAGCCCTGGATGGCAGTATACTTGACAGAAGGAGCCTTGCTAGACACAGTCACGAGCTACTGACATGCATGGGACACCTGCCGCCCGCCCCCCCCCCCCCCCCCCCCCCCCCAGCCTCTGGCAACCACCACTCTACTCTCTCTCCCTGGATTTGCCTATTCTAGACATTTCATATCAATAGGATCACACAATGTCATACTATCTGTGCTCAACACGCAACCCCCTGCCTGGGGGCATGCCCCAACAGTGTCTGTCTGGGTTTCAATAGCAGGAGCCTACAACAGGGAGCAGGAGACTCGGAAGGGATACAAAAGCTGGTGAAGACCTGTAAACAATCACTGGGCAGGTGCCATTTTGCTGTCCTGCTGAAACCTGCTCTTAGGGCCCACGCCTCTTTGTGCCTCCTCACCCACGTGTGCAGCTGAATCTCCAAACTCAGTGGGGGGCGGGGAGGCAGGGCAGAAAGCCTTCCCCCATTTGTCAGATGGGAAAACTGAGATTTGTGTATTCATGTCCCTGAATGGACGGAGGAGAAGGAATTCAATTCCATTCCTGCTGTTGAAAATGTTGTGTCTCATGGAGTCTAGAGCTGCGATGTCCAATGCAGTAGCCACCAGCCATATTTGGGCATTTAAAGTTAAACTCCTTAAAAGTCATTTTCTGGGTTGCACGAACTGCCTTGCAAGTATTCAACTGCCACATGTGGCTCGTAGTTGCCATATTGGACCATGAGATACCAGCACAAACGTTCTACTGGACGGTGCCAGAGAGAGATGTGGCCGTGGTCTCAGCCAAGCCCCTAGGTTGAGAGCCCTTCTCCATCCCAAAAGACATCCCTTCAACCATGTGGACCCCAAGGCAGGCGCCTCACCTGCCCCCGCAGGGGACCCGCCTCGTCTGCACTGCAGGATGAGCTCTGTGTGTGTGTCATCAAGTGACCCTGCATTTGATCCTGGCTGAGGGACCCTGGCCAGGGAGGTACCTTCTCTTCGCCTCAGTTTCCTTATCTGCCAACATCAAAACTGTCGAGTGCTAAGAATGATACAGGGGCCGGCTCGGTGGCGCAGCAAAGTTCACACGTTCCGCTTCTCAGTGGCCTGGGGTTTGCCGGTTCGGATCCCAGGTGCGGACATGGCACTGTTTGGCAAAAAGCCATGCTGTGGTAGGCGTTCCACGTATAAAGTAGAGGAAGATGGGCATGGATGTGAGCTCAGGGCCAGTCTTCCTCAGCAAAAAGAGGAGGATTGGTGGCAGCAGTTAGCTCAGGGCTAATCTTCCTCAAAAAAAAAAAAAAAAGAAGAAGAAGAATACAAACTAGTTGCATGACTGAGTTCTCACCCCAGGCCAGGCGAGCGTGATCTCCTGTGCCTTCCAGCAGCTCTATGGATGGGTGCTCCCCCTGGCACCTGCTCTGTACGGAGAGGGCTCAGAGAGGACACACGCCTGCCTCACTCAGCATTTCTCCTCCTCGCACTGTTCACATTGGGGGTCCGGTCATTCTTTGTTGGGGGGACCATCCTGTGCATTGCCGGATGTTTAGCAGCAGCCCTGGCCTCCACTCACTAGATGCCACTAGCATGACAGATAGATAGACAGATAGATACTATAGATGATAGATGTTGATAGCTGGATGGATGGAGGAACGGACAGACTGAGAGGTAGAGAGATGATAGACAAATGAACGGGTGGGTAGGTAGATATTATGATAGATTCCAGCTATGGAGAGAGAGGGAGCCGGGCAGGGTCTCTCGCATGCTGGGACAGGGTTTCTTACCCTCTGCACTGCTGACACCTGGGGTGCCATCCCCATCTGTGAGGGGCCGTCCTGTGTATTGTAGGGTGTGGAACAGCAACCCTGGCCCCCACCCACTAGATGCCAGTAGCATCCCATCCCCTAGTCGAGACAATCAAAAATGTCTTCATTGTCAAGTGTCCCCTGGGGGCGCAGAATCTCCCCAGGTGAGAACCGCTGGCCTAGCAGAACTCAGAACTCTGAGAGCCAGGATCTGAGCCATCATACCACGCTGACTCCGTGTGCAAACGTAACACGTTTTCATGGTCCTGGAGGTACTGAAATCACCTCCCCTCCAGCTACCCTCCACAAGCCGCCTTCTCCGCCAGCCCTTGGAGCACAGCCGGTCCTACGCCCCGTGAGGCGCTCAGCTTTACTCACCGGATCAGTCATGGGGCCAAGAAGGCCAATTGTTTTCTGTCTCCTTGGATTTTGGAATCAGGACTCAAGAATGAGCCAGTAAGATGAGGCCAGGTCCCCAAAACAGGAGCTCGTAATGCCAACGAAAGCTCGAGGCAAGCTGAAGTTCCCCGGAGGACAAAGAAGAGTCTGGAACAGAAGCTCATGTACAGAGAGGACCCAGAGGAAGAAGGGATGAGAAACTGCCCTGATTCCTGTGGCTTGCTGGTTTCCATGACAACTCTGCTTCCTCCATGTAGACACCATCAGAGTGGCCTGATGACCCACCCCTTTATTCTGGAACATTCTCCTTCTGTCTTTGTTCTCTTGTAGAGTCCAGGCCAGGCTCCTACTCTGGGGGCATCAGTCACAAAACCTGGAGCAGGAGATGAAATCTGGGGTGCACCCTGCTCCAGTCGGCTATGGGGTGGCCCTGGGGTCCCCGAGCTCCTCCCACGGCCATTTGCATGAAGGCACAGCTTTGCTGCTTGGTGTGTCTGCTAATTGGCCTCCGTCCCAACCTCCTTCGGGAGATGGCCCGGCTGCTGTATTCATCTGATAAACGCAATCCTCTCCCCTGCTCGTTATCTCTGACTTGCCATCCACACCTGGCATCGCTAAGCTGTCGGTCCTGACCACCACGAGTGGGTTTGTCAGAGTTTGCAGCCCCGAGGCTTTCTCTGGGTTAAGCAACTGTGTTCAAGCATTCATGCCTCTAAACTCTATAAACACACAGGAATTGGATTTTCCTAATTGCTTTTTGCTGATTCCCATGCTACAAGCCTGGAATTCTGTGTAGATGCATACTTGCGGTCAAGTCTTCAGAGAAGTTAGCTTTACAAAGACTTTTCTGAGCTCTCTCCACACATTGCACGGTAATTACACAGAGGAACGTTGCAAATTTACAGCGGGGGAAAAAAATCCATGCCCAAGAAGGGCCGAGCATCACTTTTAACCTGCATGCAATCATGAGGAAACACCAGCCGAGCCCAGATGGAGGGATACACAGTCGCCCCCACTCCCCGAGGTGTGGTCCCCTGGACCAGCAGCATCCGAATCGCTGGGGAGCTTGGGAGAAACACAGGTTCCCAGGCCCCAGCCCAGACCTGCAGAATCAGAGTCTTTGTTCAAAACAAGACCCAAGAGGCATGCACGCCCTGGGGCCAGGGGGCTGTCCTACAGAGTAACCAGCCTGTGCTCTTCCCGAAGACATAGACAGCTGGTGGAATGTTCCAGAATAAGGGAAACCAAAGAGACTTGACAACTAAATGCAACATGCAGTCGTGGATGGGGTAGAAGGGGACAGACATAGCTACGAAGGACATTTTTGAGATAATTGGCAAATTTTGACTATAAACTGTGTATTAAATACTATTATTGCATCTGTGTTCTATTTCCTGAGTTTTGTGATCGTCCTGTGGAGGTGTGGGGTTCTGACTGCTCTTAGGAAATCTGTGAGGTGTTTAAAGATAAAGAGGAATGATGCCTGTAATGAATTCTCAAATGGTTCAGTGAAAATGGTGGGGGTGTGTGTGTGTGTGTGTGTGTGTATAGATAGATATAGAGACAGAGAGAGATAGAAAGAAAGAGGAATGGATAGATAAATTCAGAGATAGATAGAAAAATAGAAGGAAGGGAGGGAGGGAAGAGGGAAAAGATAGATAAGGAAGGGGGAGAGAGGGACAGACAAAGCTATGTGGCAAATTGGTGACTCTGGAGGAAGGGCGTATGGCAGCAGTTCTCAGCTAGGGCCATTCTGCCTGCAGGGGACACTCGGCAATGTCCTGAGACACTTTGGTTGTCACAGCTGGGGGTCCTCCCAGCATGTGTGGGTGGAGGCCAGGGATGCGCTCAGCATCCTGCTGGGCACAGGGCGGCCCCCACAGCAAAGAATGATCTGGCCCCAAACATGGGTAGGGCCAAGGCTGAGAACCCTCCATGTCTGGGAATTCTTGGCCCTACTTTTTGCACTATGGGAATTCTTCCACTAGTCTATAAACTTGAAATTATTTCCAAGTGAAAATTTTATAGAAGAAATACCACAGACAAATCCATAGAGACAGAAAGTAGATTAGCGGGTGCCAGGGGCTGGCGGAGGGGGGACAGGGAGCTACTGCTCGTGGGGACGGGGTCTCCTGTTCAGATGATAGAATGTTCTAGAGATGGATAGTGGTTGCACAACATTGTGAGTGTCCTAAATGCCACGGAACTGTCCGCATTAAAACAGTGAACTTTATGCTACGTGAACCATCCTGGGTTGAATAATGTCCCTCCAAATTCACACCCACCTGGAACCCGTGACTGTGGCCGTATTTGAGACAGACTTTGGGGAAGGAATCCAGGCAAGAGGAGGTCCTACTGGATCAGCGTGGGCCCTGGTGCAAGCGGTGGTGACCTCGAAACCAAAGGAAAGTCACACAGAGAGACGCAGAGGGAGAAGCCACCGATGGGGGCAGATGGGAGGGAGGTGTCTATGAGCCAGAGAATGCCAAAGCTTGTTGGCAACACCAGGAGCTAAGAGAAGGGCCTTGAACAGGTTCTCCCCTAGTGCCTTCGGCCCTGCCGACCTCTCCATCTCAGACTCCTGGCCTCCAGAACTGCGAGAGTAAACTTCCGTTGTTTCGAACTCCCTAGGTCGTGATTCGTTATGGCAGCCCTAAGAGACAAACGATGCATTCTCTCTCAACTTAAAAAAGAGTGAGAAGAACAGAGACTTACCTGGAAGACACGATGTAGCCCAGGACATGGGCCACCAGGAGCTGCCCATGCGTCTGCTCCAGGCGGGCGCACAGCTGCTGCATGGCTTCCCCGGCCGTGGGGGCCAGAGGGGCGGGCACGGTGAAGGAGGCCCAGCTCCGGGCCTCCTCGAAGGCCAGCCTCAGCCGCCCTGGGTGCCCGCACTCTGGGAGGCTGGCCCACAGCAGCTCCGTCTGTCCCGCGCTCAGGGTCCTCCTCGAGGCCGCCATCAGCAGCTGGAGCATCTCTTGCCCCTGATTTCCCGAGAGGGGTCTGACCTCCCAGTAGGCCCCTGGGTCTGTGAGCGTCTGCTGCACGGTCTCTAGAGCCCCCTGCTGCCCCAAGCAGGCCGAAAGGATGAGGTGGACCCTCGGGGGGCAGTTAGGAGGCAGCCAGGGGACCCTCCGAGCACGGTGGACGGAGTCCACATCATCCACGGAATCCAGCAGGATCACGAGGGACTCGAAGTTTCGGCTGGAGACGGTGTGGAGGAGGATGTGGAAAAACTGGACCAGCCTGGCATGGGCCTCCAGGACCTGGGCAGGGGGCAGGGGCAGCCCGTAGGCCAGGCACACCTGGAAGCAGACGCTCTGGAGCAGGCCATGGGCGTCGGAGCTCATCTGCGAGGTCCCCAGCAGCCGCAGGACGGTCACTGTCTTGCGGCCAAGCAGCCCTGGCATTTGCTGGCCCAGCTGGCACATCAGAGCCGTCTTTCCAATGCCCGGGGCCCCAAAAAGCACCAGGGCCGTGTGTGGGTGGCTGTCGCTCTCCCGCAGGTGCTGTCCCAGCTGCGTCAGGAGCTCCTGGCGCCCGCAGAAGGCGCGGGTGGCCTCGGTGCTCAGCCCCAGGTGGTGGCGGACCTCCTGGTGGAGCCATGCCAGCTCCTGCCTGCCCGCCTCCAGCTCCCGGAGGCGTTCCAGGACCTGGTGGTTAGCCCGGGCCACAAACTGCTCGCCCAGCTCCTTCAGGTACCGGGCATGAGCCTTGTTCTGGGGGTTCACCAGGTCACGGCTCCAGGGCAGGTGGTGGGCCTTGAGGACTCCGGGCTGCGTGTCGGCGATGCGCCCCTTGAGGCTGCTGAGGAGGTTCTGGGCATCTGTGTCCAGGCAGCCATCTGCGAGCCGGTCCACCATCTTGAGGGCACACTCCTCCAGGATGTGTTTGTCGAGGTCTGGGATCTCTCTCAGGAAGACGGTGGCGCCCTGGTCCCCGTCTGCCGAGCTCAGCAGGCCTCGTTCTATCTCCCACTCAATGACTGCAAAGGTGGAGGAGATGGGAAGGGAGCATGGTCATCATTGAGTCATCAGCTGGCCCGAGGGGGATGCTTGGGAGACACACTCGGGGGTGAGGGTGTTTGTTCTCAAGCTTAACATGCACCAGGAGTCACCTGGCACAGCCACAACCTGCAAACTAATGCACTTGCGTGTGTTCCAGTAAAGCTTTATTTACAAAACAAGCCTTGGGCCGGATTTGGCCCCGGGGCCAAGGTTTGCCCACCCCGTCCCTCAGCTGGCCTGAGGACCCATATTTTCCAGAATCAAGGGCCCAAACTGACTTCTCCTTGGAGGCTGCTGTTTTGAAACGGCAGTCAGACACGGCGAGTTATTTCTGAAGCTGCCCTGGGCTCGGCGGAGGCCCCCAGCTCTCTGCAGCTGAGCAAGTCAGGCGCTGGGAGACAGGACTCAGTCTCAGAATCAAAGACAAGAGCCACACACAAGTCCTCCTTGGAGAGACCCCAGCCCGCTGCCCCCGGCCTGTGAATGGAGGTCAGAGATGAAGGCCAATAGCAGTCCCCAAATAGGACCCTTCTTGGACACATTTCTGCGCGAACCCATCCAAGACCATCTGCTCTGCCACCTGCAGGCTGTGTGATCTTAGGCAAATCACTGCACCTCTCTGAGTCTATTTCCTCCCCTGTAATGTGGGTGAACTAGCCAAACCTTGATGGGCTACTGTGCGGATCTTCCATGAAATAGTGCTTGTGAAAAGCAGAGCGCGCTGTGCCGAGGGAAAGAGCTGATCTCCACAGGCTGCAGACTGTGAGATTCCATCTTCTATAACATTGTTGAAATAACAAAATTACAAAGATGGAGATGGACGCGTGTCTGCGGGGGGCTGGGGATTGTAGGGAGGGGGAGTGTGGCGCTAAAGGGGTAGCGAGAGGGATCCCTGTGGTGGGGGGCCGCCCTGCACGGCGGTGGTGGCTCCTGGATGCTACACGGGTGACAAAACTGCATAGGATGAAATACACACGTGTGTGCGGCACGCACACACACACGCGTGTCCTGCGAAGTGGTGCTCCCTCTGCATTCCCACGTCTCGGCGGTGACATGGCTCTCCAGTGTTGAAAGGCTGTACCTCTGGGGGAAACTGAGTGAAGGACACACGGAACCCCTTCCTACTATTTTTTTGCAACTTGCTGTGAATCTCCATTTCAAAATATAAAGTTTTAAAGAATGAAAGGCGAGCAAGGTGCCTGGGAAATAACACGCTCGGATGACGATGCCGACGCAGCAGCCCCCAGCTTGGCGCCCACTCATGCTTTCTGCTGGTTTCAAGGAGTTCTGTTTATTTTTTCAAGTGGGACTTCTTAACGGGCTGGGTTGCTATTGCTGCTTGAAGCTCAAACGAGGTCATGGGGGGACAGGACCCTTCGTACCCCCACAATGACTCCGTGATGGGAACCTCTGACTAGTTCCTTCTGCAGAAGCAGAAACTGAGGCTCCGAGCACGCCAGAAGTCAGTACAGCTGGAAAGGGCAAGGCTGCGCTGCAACCCAGGCCCAGCACAGCCCCCAGACACTGGTGACGGCCCCAGGGGCAGACATCTCTGTGGAAGCAATTAGCAGGTGTGGCTTTGTGTCACAGAGCAAGCAATAGCGCTGTAGCTAAGTGCCCAAACACAGTAGTCATTAACAATGTTCATGTGAAGAGTGTATTCAAAATTAACACGTCTTTCCTAGTCTTAAGCAAAGGATCAAGGTTGGCAGCAGGTGTGATGTCAGGTGGGCATCAGGCACCTGCTATGACGGGATGCGGAGGGAAGCTCACCCTGCGGGCCTCCTCCCAGAAACCTACAACCCCAGCCTGATCACAGGAAACAGCAGCCACGCCCAGGGGGGCATTCCACAACAGACCTGGCCAGCACGCCTAACACCGTCAAAGTCATGAGAAACAAGGAAAGCCTGAGAAACTGCCATGAACCAGAGGAGCCAAGGAGACATAAGGACCAAACGCACTGTGGGATCCTGTACCGGCTCCCAGACAGAGGACACTGATGGGGAAACTGAGGGAATCTGGATAAAGTCCAGAGTCTAGTTGATCACCAGGGACCACTGTGAAGTACGAATGTTAATTTCTTAGTTTTGGCAAATGTCCTGTGGTCACATAAGATGTTAGCATTTGGGGAAGCTGGTGAAGAACATTCGGGAACTCTGAGTTGTCTTTGTACCTTTAGAAAATTATAACTTTCCTGTTAATCTAAAAGTATCCCCAGGGCCAGCCCGGTGGCGCAGCGGTTAAGTGCACATGTTCCACTTCAGCGTCCCGGGGTTTCCCAGTTCAGACCCCGGGTGTGGACCTGGTACTGCTTGGCAAGCCATGCTGTGGCAGGCGTCCCACATATAAAGTGGAGGAAGATGGCCACAGATGTTAGCTCAGGGCCAGTCTTCCTCAGCAAAAAGAGGAGGATTGGCAATGTTAGCTCAGGGCTAATCTTCCTCAAAAAAAAAAAGTATCCCCAAAGAAAAAGTTTACTTTTAAAAATTGATGTCATTACTAGAATTAATATATATACAGGCACACCTCAGAGATATTGCGGGTTGGGTTCCACACACCACAATAAAGCAAATATCACAATAAAGCGAGTCACACGAACCTTTTGGTTTTCCAGCACATATAAAAGTTATGTTGATGCTATCCTGTAGTCCACTAAGCATGCAATAGCATAATGTCTAAAAAACATTGTACTGCCCTTAATTAAAAAATGCTTTATTGCTAAAAAATGCTAACCATCATCTGAGCCTTCTGCGAGTTGTAATCTTTTTGCTGGTGGAGGATCTCATTAAAAACACAATATTTGGGGCCGACCCCGGGGCCGAGTGGTTAAGTTCGCGCGCTCCGTTTCGGCGGCCCAGGGTTTTGCCAGTTCGGATCCTGGCGCAGACCTAGCTCCGCTCCTCAAGCCATGCTGAGGTGGCGTCCCACATAGCAGAACTAGAAGGACCTGCAGCTAGGGTATACAACTGAGTACTGGGGGGGCTTGGAGAGAAGAAGAAAAAAAAGATTGGCAACAGATGTTAGCGCAGGGCCAATCTTAAATAAACAAATAAATAAAGAAATATCTGTGAAGTGCAATAAAGCAACACGCAATAGAATGAGGTATGGCTGTATAATATATATTAATACGTAATATATACAAAAGGCAATATATAATAATCAATGTATTTTAATAAAATTAAAATATTATTAATATAATCACTACATTCAATATCTTTAATAAATCAATGTATTTCATATGATCATAATATAAATCCACTTATATAATATGTTGATAATACGAATCCACATATTTAATATGTTGATTACATAAATTTATATATTTAATACGTTGATATAATGAATTCATGTATTTAATATTTTTAGTAACATAAATTCATACATTTCACAGTTTTGGCAATATGAATTCGTCTACTTGATATTTTTGGTGATATAAATTGACGGACTAACAATCCACAAGCTGGCGTGCTATTAACCCCCAAGCAGGAGGCCCTGTGTCCTGCTGCAGCACGCGTGGGGAAAGGGCTGGACCCGCTGCATTTGTGGAAACCTGTTCCTGGCAGGCGGGGTGGAGGGCAGAGGGGGCAGAGGCGGAGGCTGCAGGCGGGGGCCGGCTGACAGACCCTGGCAGTCACAGGGTCCAATCTCTGCTCTGCCCCTGGGCAAAGGAGATGCCTTCTTGTGCCTCAGTTTCCACCTCTGAGGCAGGCGCAGTGGGGCCGGATGGCTGGGAAGCCTCGGCAGGGACTGGTTCCTGGGCTAACACAGGGAGACCCACTGCTCCGGTGTTCCTGGGACCGTCTGAACTCAGCCCTAAAGCTCCCAGGCAAATCGGGAGGGTGGTCCCCCTAGAACCCCTCCCTCAAAGCCAGGAGCCTCCCCGGAGAGGGGAGGAGGGAGCGGGGGAGGAGAGGAGGACCCCAAAAGATGGAGAAGCAACCGGAATGAGGCGGACTCTCCTGGGTCAGTAAAGGAAGGATTTTTGGAACTGAGTCTGGGAGGCAGGTCTGCTTGGCATTTACCGAGACGCAGACTGTGGCATCTGCACCAAACCTGATGTGCATCTGAACGGGGGCAGAGCGGCGGCCTCACCTGAGCGGGAGTAGCGGTGCCACTGCTCCTGCGTGAGGAGGCCCAGCCTCCGTGCGTCCCGGGCTCCGGAGCACAGCACCGAGGCCAGGGCATCCTCGGGCTCACTGGCCTCCCTGGCGCCCGGCGCCTGCAGCACGTAGGCAGGGGGCACGGCGTTCTCGTCCCTCCGGAAGCGTTGGGCCACCAGCTCCAGGTCGCCGGGCCTGGCGGCCAGCTGAGCCTGCAGCGCCTCCCACTCCTTCTCCTCGATGAGCGCGGGGACCGGACAGGGCCCGTACTGGTTCCCCATGAGGGCCTGGCAGAGAGAGGGCAGAGGGCGCGGGCTCCAGTGTCGGCACCGGCACTTGGCTCTGAGACCCTCGGGGAGCCACACCTCGCCCCTAAAAATGAGCCTGGTGGTAGCGCCATGGCGATAGTGACATTAAGAAGCGCAAGCAGAGCCTTATGGCATCTGCACGTGGGGACCTGGGGACATGCGGCAGGGGGATCGAGCACTGAGCACCTCAGCAGCTTTTATTGGGAACCCCTCTGTGGCAGGTGAATAACACCCCCAAAGATCCCTGGTCCCATTGCCTGGGCCCCGTGGATGTACCTTCTGTGGGAAAGGGTGGTGGTGGTTAATTTTGTGAGTCAGCTTCACTGGGCTAAGGGACGCCCAGAGAGCTGTCCAACGTGATTTCCGGGTGTGTCTGTGCAGGTGTGTCCGGAAGAGGTCAGCATTTGCATTGGTGAGCTGAGCCAGGCGGACGGCCCTCCCCAGCGCGGGTTGGCCTCACCACACCCACCAAAGGTCCCGACAGAAAGAAAGAAGGAGGGAGGGTGATTCCCTCTCTCTGCTCGAGCACACATATGTACTTGGGTTCCACTTCTCTGAAGAAGCCTGATACAAGGGTCTTTGCAGACGGGATTAAGTTAAAGGTCTTGTGCTGGGGAGATTATCCTGGGTTATCCGGGGGGCCCTAAATGTAATCTCAAGAGTCCTTACTAAGAGTCAGGCAGAGGGAGATTCGACACAAACAGCAGAGAAGACGACGATATGACAACAGAGGCAGAACTGGAGGGATGCGGCCACAAGCCAAGGAACGCCTGGAGCCACCAGAAGCTGGAAGAAGCAAAGCAAGGCTTCTCCTTGAGAAATGTAGGAGGGAGCACAGTCCTGCTGAGAGAATAAGCAGGACAGTCTTGGTCTGTGCCTTCCTGGACCTTGGAGTCTTAACAGGAGAGGCCAGCATCAATCTGGGAATTGACATCAATCTGAGAATTTGCACCAATGTCAAAGTGAAGCCGTCATAGAGCTAGACAGAAAGGGTAAAGTGGGTCACACGTGAGCTGTGGGGTCAGGGAAATTCCCCTGAGGAAGTGAGGATCGAGCTACAGAATAAGACATGAGAATGAGTGCACTGGGCAGAGCACCTGGGAAGCAGAGGAAACATCATGTGCAAAAGCCCCGTGGCAGGAAGTGTGGCCAAAGGCCAGTGCAGGAAAGCCAGGGGAGCTGAAGCACCAACAAAGTGGTGGCAGTGGAGGGAGAAAAGGCTGTCCACAAGGGCAAGATTTTGTTGGGCATGGGGAGGCCCTAAGATTTTGGTCCTAATGTCGAGGACACTAGGAGGCCCTCTTTCTATCCCAACACGCTCAAGGAAGGTGAAAAGTGGAATGCAAGAGAATTACGCCTAGGATATAGGGCCCAAAGTCTTGAGTTTTCTCATATAAAATGGAAGCAACCACCCTTCCTCTCTTCATTGGGTTTTTCCAGAATATCCCAGGGGCATGCCTCTGGGAAACCTGGATAAATGGAATCTGTGATGACAGGATGTTGACAAGGACATGGCTCTCGGGGGCCTTCCCTGCAGGAACAGCCTCTGAGGAGCGAGAGAGGTCGAAAAGGCGAGGCCAGCTGGCCACAGACCAGAGCTCTCAGGAAGGAGAGTGAGAGTACAAAACCCTGCATGTGGGGCCAGCGTGAGGGACCGGGAGGAGCCAGAAAGGAGGCGAGAAGGAGGCACCAAGAGCAACTCTCTGGGGACGCTGGAGCTGCTGCTGGTGGCCTTGAGACCCAGAGCCTCTCAAAGGAAGTGCCGTGGGGATGTCCCTGCCATGCTGCCTAAGGACTTATTTACTGGAGAGACGCGTCTCCAAGGGCCGCTGGCGCAGCTCCATGGGAAGCCCCCAAGCAGGGCCACTCAAGGACAACGACGCTGTGGCTCTGAGGTGACAGGGGGCCACGCCTGGTTCAGGAACAAACAGCTGTGGGCAGAAGTCCGCCGGCGCCCAAGGAGCCCTTCTAGGAGGAGGCGCAAGCAAGGTCCCCGGGCCATGGGGCCTGGGCAGCTGGAACAGCGTCCCCCGTCCCCCGTGCCACCTGGAGCCACGCTGTGCTTTTCGCGGCCTGCGACTTGGGTTGCAAAATCAAATTCCTCCTGGAGTTCTTTTTCTCCCCATCTCCCTTTTCTCTTTAAAAAAGTTTTCCTTTGAAACTCAACAAAATGATCAATCATCAGGCTCAATTGGAAAACTAAATGAGAAGACTGGAAAAGAGATTCGTGGAGAGACGCAAGCAGGGCATCGAGCCTCCCAGACCTGGGGATGTATTTCGAAGCAACAATAATTAACACAGAGTGATTCAAACAGTACAGACTTCCAGGCAGACGATGAGTGAGTCCTGGGGAGTCACGGACAGCGTGGGGACACGTGAGCACTGCCCTGTGGCAGATTTCAAAGCTGCTGAGAGTAGACCCTAAACGTTCTCACTTTCTTTTCTTTTTCCTTTTTGTATTTATACGAGATGATGGTGGTAACTAAACATTGTAATAATTATTCCACAATATATGTAAGTCAAGCCATTATGCTGTGCACCTGAAACATATACAGTGTGGCATGTCAATTATGTCTCAATAAAAATCGAAAAAGAAGGAAAAAGGGGAAAAAAGGTAGTGCCAACTTATGAAGAAAAGTATAGAGCTAAAGAATGCAAACACGCCCGCCTGTGCACAGAAAACGTAAACATAATGAAGACAGTTGCTCGCACACCCCGCCCAGGTCTTGGTTTCTCGTAGGGAGGCCTAATCTCCGCGGCAGCATTGGAAGTGTAGAAGTTACTAAAGCAACGCACCGTCGTCAGTGTTCTCATCGTGGCTGTCCAGTATGGTGGCCACTTGCCACACGTGGCTACTGAGCCACTGCAATGTGGCTGTGCAACTGAGGAAGTGGAATTTTAACTCCACTGGATTTTTTTTTTTTTTAAAGATTGGCACCTGAGCTAACAACTGTTGCCAATCTTCCTTTTTTTTTCTCTTTCTGCTTTACCTTCCCAACCCCCCCGTACATAGTTGTATATCTTAGTTGCAGGTCCTTCTAGTTGTGGGATGTGGGACGCGGCCTCAACGTGGCCTGACGAGCGGTGCCGTGTCCGCGCCCAGGATGCGAACCCTGGGCCGCCGCAGCGGAGCATACGAACTTAACCACTCGGCCACGGAGCCAGCCCCATCCACTGGATTTTAATTAATTGAAATTTAAATCATCACACGTGGTTCGTGGCTACTGCATTGGGCAGTGCAATTCTAAGGCCAAACAGCCTATTTCTTTTTATTTCCCTAGAAAACAGCCTTTATAATGGGCACCACTCTCTTCTACATTCTCCCTTATTTCCAGGAGCGGTTTGGAGGGTTTTTCTTTTTATTTGGAGCGACTCAGAACGTCTTTGTGATTAAAGTGTGGCGGGCAAAGATACTTTCTTGACATTCTCCCTCTTTACATTCTAAGACAGGGGTCGGCAACTTTTTTCTGTTAAGGGCCAGAGAGCCAATATTTTCAGCTTTGCAGGCCAGATGGTTTCTGTTGCAACTGCTCAGCTCCGAGCTGTAGCTGGAAAGCAGCCCTGGGTGATGCCTAGATGAGTGGACGTGGCTGAGTGCCAATAAAGCTTTATTTACAAAAACAGGCAGTGGGCCGGATTTGCTCCACAGGCTGTAGGCTGCTAAACCCTGCTGTAGGATTGATGAGCCAAAATGGCAGTTATTGGATGTGTCTGGAACCTGGTGGGGTAATAAATCGGGACTTGGGAATGTCATTTGTTGATCACAACCCAAACCGTTCATTGTGAGCTGGCAGTTATTTTAGTGACAGAAGGAGTACATTTGGGAGGGAAAGAGAAAAGACCCTGTGACATGGAAACATTGGCCTTGCCTGGGGCTGGAGGAAGTCTGCCCCTGAGGCAGGCTCCAGAAGGGCCGTCAAGTCTGCTCCCCACACCATGGGGCACATGGGAGAAAGAAATTTCTGTTACCCTGGGGTTCCACCTTACCTATGGTTTTCCAGGACCCCAAAGTTCCCCAACACAGAGTGGATGGGGTGGGAAAGCTGAGAGAAGGTCCAGAGCAAATTCTAACATCCCTTTGGCTTTCAACACCCTCTCCATCTCACCTGCTGCATGCATTTGACTGCTAATGTCTGGATCCCAGCTAGCTCTGCAGAAAATGAGTGCCGTGATTGATTAGCAATGTCTGCCATGGGATGATTATGGAGAGTGGGTACAATAGCAGAATGCCACCCACTTCCCTCCACTGGTGGGTTTGGCTAGGGAGCAGGGCCATATCCTGGTGCTGGAACAAGAAGTAAGAGCTAACCCCTCCCTCCTGAGAGACTCACAACAAAAGCCGGCCCTATGGATGTTTTCCGACACCGGTCCAGCTCCTCCAAGCAGAGTTCCGTGGTCATGTGTTCAGTGGCCTCGGCACTGCGAACACCCCACCTCAGATCAACAACCTGGGGACACAAGCACGGGCTTGTCAGGAAGGTGGCAGGATGCATGAATTTTTCAATCCCCTTTGACAAAAGGCATAAAGATTTTTTTCAATAATGTTTGACACCCTCTCCCCAGAGGGGATTTCTGGATTAAAAGAACCTGAATGAACCCCAAACCCCACTGTAACCGTGACAAGAGCATCTGCCAGACCCAGACCAGGGGCATCCCGCGGGACCCAGCCAGTCCTCCCCAAGACCCCAAGGTCACGAGCAACAAGGAAAGACGAGGAGCCGTCCCAGACCAGGGGAGGCTGGGGAGATGTCACGACCACAGGCAGTGGGGTCCCTGTAAGGATAGGTCCTCGAGCAGAGAGAGCACGGGCACGGAAGAACTGGTGACGTCCGAGTAACGTCAGGAGGTCGGTCACTGACAGTTGACTGACCGTCGGCCTCTCAGCTGCGACAGACGCGCTGATAACGGAAGGCGTTCACATTGGGGGAGGCTGGGTGTGGGGCACAGGGGACTCTGGACGTCTCTGCAACTTTTGTGTAGATCTAAATTCCGAAATCAGACGTTTACTTAAAAACATTTAAAATTTTTAAAGAACTTGAGCATTTTGAAGCTGTTCCTTTTTAAGCAAGGACATGTCCGCAATTGTTCGCAGAGCTTTCTTTGCAAAGCAGGGCATTTAGTTTGGCCAAAATGGGACAGGCAAAGTCTCTGGGGCAACCGCATGCAGTGGTCCGTTTCCGCCAGCTTGCCCCAGGGTGAGAGGGCTGGCAGAGCCCCCGCAAGTCAGAGGGTGGAGCTGGCCCCGAGGACAGAAGGATGAGGAGGGGGCAGGAGGGGACTCAGACTGATGCAGAGCAAGGCTGCCCCGGGAGAGACGGCCGAGGCGTCCTGGCCTGCCGATCTACAGCACCCTCCGGGAGGCCTAGGGCGTCCTCACCTGACCCGACCTGACCCGTATCCAAAGTTATAGGACTGATGAGGATTATTTTAGGCTGGTTACTTTTAAAACTGCAGATGAGAAGGGGGCTGGATACCTTAATAAAAGCAACTCCGAGGAGCAGAGTTTGCTTGCCCTTTGTTGGGAAACATTTACATTTGTGAAGGCAGTCTCCTTGCCTCCCTCTCTGCACCAGGAGGAAGGCGGGGTGGCCTTATCTCTGGAAACTCTTAATGGGGAAGGCAAGGACTTAAGTTGGTTACTGTCTGGCAACCTCATGTAACTGATCCCTCCCCCCCAACATCCTCCTTTGTCTTTAGCTGAAGATAGTATTTAGGGTGGTGGCTTCTGGCCTTCACTTAATCCAATTTGATTCTTATCTAAAAGTTATAGGACCACCCAACATCCAGACCCCACCTGCACTGATACCATTTTAACTTTTTTACATATTCTTTCGTTTGTCTTGTAAAGAGATAATTCACATACCTACACCTTAAATTTAGCCTTACTCTCCACCCATGTGGGCAGCAGCAGCTCCCCATGCCAGCAGTACCTCCTCCTGCCCATGGGTCCTGTCCCCATGCAGCAGCAGCTCTGACTGCCCGTGGGTCCTGTCCCCATGCTATTCCACACTATTCTCTAAATAAAAGAGCACTACTGTCAGATCTTGAGAGTCCAAGAAATCTTTCTTTTGACTCCTCGGCTCCCGTCAAGAGCAGACCCTGCCTCCCCAAGTTCTTTTGCCCAGAGGGAAAGACACATGAATTCCTGATGAACCACAGCATGGGGTGCAAAGACCACAGTACTCAGCATGCATGTTTTTCTCTCTAGTGCCACTGCCACCGAGCCGTGTCTCAGGACCACCGGCGAGCAGAGTGGAACTCCCAGCACTGCTCTTTTTTGGTAGCAGACAAATGACGGCGTGGCTTACAATGAAGGAGCTTTGGTGCGATGCGTCGCTGTCCCAATGGCAAGGAGATAGCCTCAAGTGAAGCCGAGACTCCAAGACGGTTTGTCGGTTTCTGCATCGAAACGCGCAGCAGCAGCATCGCCCCCACTCCCGGGTCAGCGTGAGAGTCCCAGAGGCTGCTTGGGGCCCGTGGCGACTGTGCCCCACAGGCACACCACTGGAGCTCCAGAAAAAGGCATGTCCCACTTCCATGCATGCCCCAAATATCCCACAGCCCTCTTAGACTCCCCCCGAAGCTGCCCCAGTGCAGAAGAGGGTAAAGAGCAACAAAAGGCAGGAAAGGGCCCAGCCCAAGGAGCAGGGTCCCCAGGCGGCCACTCCTGTGCTGTGCCATGCCTCCTGTGCTAATCAAAATGCCCGTAGCCGTCATCCCTCCACCTGCTCTTTCAGAGGACTTTTATCTCCATGGCCCATGACCAGGGCCAGCTACAGAACTTGCAGGGCTCAGGGCAAAAAGAAAACGGGGCTCTTGTTCAAAAGTCATTATGAATTTCAAGACTCAACAGCAAAGCATTGAGCTGAGTGCGGAGCCCCTGTGAACAAAGGGCCCTGCGTGACTGCCCCAGGGCACACCCTCGTTCCCGACCTTCAGGACGGAGGGGACCCAGGCAGCGAGGAGCGGGCAGGTGCTCACCTCGAACATCAGGCCGTGCTTCTGGCAGAAAGTCTGCACCTCGGGGTAGGCGGCGCTCTGCAGAGCTTCTCTCTCTGCATCCATGTCTGCAGGAACAGCATGAAAGACGTCAGCTGGAAGAACCCAGAGCTCTTCCCTGCCCCACGGCTCTGCTTTCAGCCTCACTCACCCCACCAAGGCTGGGGCCCTTCACAGCAAATCAAAAGATGTGAAAGACACGAGGTACACCTAGGGAGGTCAACCATCCTGGGCTGCCTGGGATTTTCCTGGTGTCGGCACTAAAAATCTCACACCCTGGGAAACTCCTCAGTCGCAGCTAACCAGCATCGTTGGTTGCTCTAGGTTAGGGTTGCCAGATAAAATACAGGCTGCTTGGTTGAAATTGCATTTCAGATAAACAATGAATAACTTGCTAGCATAAGTATATCCCATTCCACGCACTATTTGGATAAATTTGCATTTCTGATAAACAACGAATAATTTGTTAGCGTAAGTGTGTCCGGGCCCAGGCACTATTTGGGATATACTTACCCGAAAGGATTATTCTTTGTTTATCTGAAATGCAAATCGAACTGGATGTCCTGGTTTTGATGTTGCCCTTGTTTTGGTTTTTGGGTTTTGCTAAATCTGGCAGCCCGACCTGGGGCAAACTGGGATGCTCAGACCTTCTCCAGCCCTGACGTCACTGTGTGGCCTGTGCCGAGTGTCAGGCTGTCCTCAGTTTCCTGTCTGTAAAATGGGGGTGATGCTCTGCTTTGCAGGGCTGCAAGCCCCAGAGTCAAGAACCTCTGCTGTCTCGGTCATCCAGGATCCCGCAGTACCAGGCACAGGCGCTCGGTAAATGTTGGCTGAACTACTGACCCAGGCAGGGAAATGCACCCAGCGCAAGGTCGGGGCTGCGGGAACACCCGTTTCACCATAGTGTCTATGAAAAGACACCCACAGCCACTGGTGCCGAGAAGCCGCCCAGGCTCCGAATGGGGGACGACCTGACGCCAATCTCAGCTCTGTCTCCTGCCCCTCCTCTTCCCATGCCCATTTTAGAAATCCCACAGGCCATCCCATTTGTCCAGAAAATAGCTACTAGGAAGTTACTTCACGCCCAGACAAGGCTGAGCAGCAGGGGGTAACATGGACGAGGCAGGGCAGCCATACCTCGCTTTACTGCGCTGTGCAGATATGCGCTTTTTTACAGGACCCTCCACCAGCAAAATGATTACAACTCGCTGAAGGCTCAGAGGATGGTTAGCATTTATTAGCAACAAAGTATTTTTTAATTAAGATGCATACATTGTTAACAAATGTTGGAGAGGTTGTGGAGAAAAAGGAACCCTCATCCACTGCTGGTGGGAATGCAAACTGGTGCAGCCACTATGGAAAACAGGATGGAGATTCCCCAAAAAATTAAAAATAGAAATACCATACGATCCAGCCATCCCACTACTCGGTATCTATCCAAAGAGCTTGAAGTCAGCAATTCCAAAAGTCCTATGCACCACAATGTTCACTGCAGCATTATTTACAATCGCCAAGACGTGGAAGCAACCTAAGTGCCCATCGACAGATGATTGGATAAAGAAGATGTGGTATATATATACAATGGAATACTACTCAGCCACCAAAAAGAACAAAATTGTCCCATTTGCAACAACATGGATGGACCTTGAGGGAATTATGTTAAGTGAAATAAGCCAGATAGAGAAGGACAATCTGTATGACTCCACTCATATGAGGAATTTAAAAATGTAGACAAAGAGAACAGATTAGTGGCTACCAGGGGACAGGGGGGCTGGGGGGTGGGCACAAAGGGTAAAGGGGTGCACCTACAACATGACTGACAGACAATAATGTACAACTGAAATTTCACAAGATTGTAACCTATCATTAACTCAATAAAAATTAAATTAAAAAAAAGAAAAGAAAAATAATAACCACTACTATCTTAAAAAAAAAGATGTGTACATTGTTTTTGTAGACATAATGCTATTGCACACTTAGACTACAGTATGGTATCAACGTAACTTCTTTTGAGGAAGATTAGCCCTGAGCTAACATCTGCTGCCAATCCTCCTCTTTTTGCTGAGGAAGACTGGCCCTGAACTAACATCCTTGCCCATCTTCCTCTACTTTATATGTGGGACGCCTACCACAGCATGGCTTGCCAACTGGTGCTGCGTCTGCACCCGGGATCCGAACTGGTGAACTCTGGGCTACGGAAGCGGAACGTGCGAACTTAACTGCTGTGCCACTGGGCCGGCCCCTCAACATAACTTTTATATGCACGGGGAAACCAAAAGAATTGCGTGACTCGCTTTATTGTGATATTGGCTTTATTGTGGCTGTCTGCAACCAAATCCACAGCATCCCCAAGGTGTGCCTGTGTGTCAGAGCCAGCCCCCTCGCTCGGGAGAGCTGACTGCTAAATCTTCAGGAATTTTGTGAGCCAGTTATTAACACAACCATTATGAAAATTGATCTGAACTTACATTATAGTAAAATCAGAAATTGCAAACACTCAAAACTCATCATTGAGAAATTATTTTACTGCAGTGACCATGAGCTCTGCGCTGGAGTCTCTTTACAGCTACTGATTTTGTCTCAGGGAAATGCTGGCAGCCGGTGAGCTGCCGCACAGCCCTGCCTGACGCCTGTTCATGACGTCACACGGCAGCTCGAAACTGACGACCATGGGAGGATTTACACGGCGGAAACTGGCACACAGCGCAAAACAGGAGTTTTATTTTGTTTTTTGCTTTTTGGAGATTAGGTTACCAAACACTTGCCAGCACACTACTGTGTCGTCTTTGCCCTCATGGAGCTTACAGCCTGGTCGGAGGGGCGAGGCATTCAACAAAGACCAAATTCAGCTGATGGGGCTGGGGCTTCACGGGTTCCAGGACCTGCCAGAGGCCGGTGTGACCACAACACATGGTGAGGAAAGGATCATACAAGACAAGGCTGGGGAGGCTCATAGGACCCAGACTCGCCGGGCTTTGTAGCCGTGGAAAGACTCTGGCACTTTTCAAGCCTGGTGCACACCATGTTCATCACAAATTTAGTTGGAATATAATTTGCCACTCACAGCCACTCTATCAAGTCAGGCTCTCACCCTCACTTATTGAAGAAGAAACAGAGGGTCTGGGAGGCTCCCCCTCACGGGTTCCCATGTGGATCACGGGCCAGGCTGCATTCACATCCAGGTCTCTCAGAGGACCCTGTGAGCCATGCCCATTGCCCTGGCACCCCCCGAGAGTGCTCGCTTGCCTCTGCCCCCAGCCCTGCCCTGCTCCTTACCTGAAACTGTGGAGCTGATAAAGATGGCCACGCTGCTGGACGGAGGCGCTGGGAGGGGGCCCGCCTGACCCTGGAGAAGCTGCTGGTGGGTGTCCGGGCTGAGGGGGTCCACGCTCATGCTGCCCACCCCCCTGGACGATCCTTCCCCTGGAAAGGGCCTGGGTTTCAGAAACTTCACGCCAGTGGCCTGGCAGCCTCCCTCATGAGGTCAGACAGGCAGGGCCATCCGGGGGGCACCTGCCTCACCCTCCAAGGCCTCTTAGGGACCTGCAGCCCCTGTCACCTCCAGTGTCCTGTGGAGCTGAGCCAGCTGCTCCTCTCTGCTCTGTTTTGTCTGTAAGTGCTAACAGGGGACCTTGGACAACGGCCTCTCAACCAAGGCCCCTGGATGTTGGCTCCTCCAGGCACCGGCGACGTTTACCTCTCAACCAACCAGCTCCTTGCCCTGAGAGCTCAGTGGTCGCTACAGCAACTGTGGTTTCCCAGCACTGGGTGTTGGGGCCTGGGGACCAGCCAGCCTCTCGAACACCTGGGTCCCGCGGGGCTCCACATAAGTTGAACCTGGGCCCAGGTGTGCAGAAAGAGGCTGTGGGATGCTGGGAGCTGTGCCCAGCCTTAGCAGGGCAGGCAAGAAGGACGAACACTTAGTGGAACGCCCACCCCATCCTGTGCTCACCCTCCAATGAGGTCCAGGCACAGGGTGTACTATTAAACTAGCAGTTCTCAACTGGGGGCCATTCTGGTCCCCAAGGGACACTCGTAGTGTCTGGAGACATTTTGGTTGTCACCACGGGGCGCGGGGGAAGGTACTCGCATCTAGTGGGTGGAGCCCAGGGATGCTGCTCCACACCCTCCAATGCACAGGACACCCCCACCAGAGAGAATTATCTGTCCCCAAATGTCAGCAGTGCTGAGAAAGAAACTGAAAGCAGCTTTAAATCAACCCTAGCCAGATCTCCTTGCCTGCAAGAGGTGTGGGGCCTGCAGCTGGCCCGCTTTGAAAAGAGGGGAGATGGGCAAGTCTCCAAGGGCGGTTAAGGATCTGCCTACATCAAACTGAGATGTGCTCTCGGAAATAATCGAAAAATGCCACTTTCTACAATGTGAGTGGACCTTCAGGGCACTATGCTGAGTGAAATAAGTCAGACAGAGAAAGACAAATACTGTACGATCTCACTTACATGTGGAATCTAAAAAAGCTGAACTCGTGGAAACAGAGAGCAGAATGGTGGTCAGCAGGGGCTGGGGAAATGGGGCGATGCTGGTCAAAGGGCACTAACTTCTAGTTATAAGATTAACAAGTTCTGGGGCTCTAATGTATGATACTGTATTACACACGTGAAAGTTGCTAAGAGAGTGAATCTTAAATGTTTTCATCACAAAAAAAGGGTAATTATGTAACATGATGGAGTGTTAGCTATGCTGTGGTGGTAACATTTTTGCAGTATATAAATGTACCGAATCAACACGTTGTACATCTTTCACTTAGACAATGTTATATGACAAATACATCTCAATAACACTAGGAAAAAAATCATCAAAAACATGGGCTGCATGACCAGCGAAAGACTTTCTTACAATTTGACCTTATTGAAAATGCCCTGGTGATGTGAGTCCTGCCCACCCACCTCTCAATATTAACAAACCACAGACAGAAAGGACGGATACCGTGGCATCCATGGGCCTGCTTGGGATGCCGGCTCCTTCAGCGCTGTCCTGGAGGGTTTAAGCAAGTGGCCTCTCTTCTGGGACATCAGCATCAGCTGCATCGTCTGTGAAATGGGAG